TGTTCCAATGCCTATACACCCCAGTGTCTGTGTGCCCCAGTGTTTGTACATCCCAGTGCCCATGGTGTCTGTGTGTTCTAGCATCTTCATGCTCAAGACTCTGTATCCTGATATGTGCATGCGACAGTATATTTATGTTCCAGAATATGTGTGTCTAAATGAATGTGTATCACTTTGTCTATATTTCTTATTTATGCCAAAGTATTTGTCTTCCTGACATTATGTGTGTCCCAGTGCCTGTATATGTACCACAGTGTGTATATTGTCCATTGTTTTTGTGTGTATATTGTCCATTGTCCGGCTGTCCCATTGGCTAAGAGTCACACTGAGTATTTCTCACTGACCACTTGTGCCTGGGTCTGTGTCCCAATGCCTGTGTGTCTCTGGATCTCTGTGTGTCTTATTATCTGTGTTTTTCCTTCAGTGTGCCCCAGGGTCAGCATGTTGCATTGTTTTAGCTTCAGTTTCTGTTTGCCTCCACCTCTGTATTCTAGTATCTGTAATGTCTCTCCATATGTGTATCCTGGAAGCTGTATCTGTCACTATCTATGTGTTTCAGATGTATATCTCTCAATGTTGATTTGACTCCATATCTTCAAGGAGCAATGTCTCTGTGTTGCAGTGTCTCTATGTGTCCCAGTGTCAATACTGCTAAGTGTCTGCATGATAAGTGTCTTTATATCCCAGTGTCTCTATGTATCAGTGTCACTGTATCCCAGTGTCTGCATTTCAGGGTGTCTTTCTTATGCCCCAGGGTCTGTGTGTTTTGGATCTGTGTATGTTTCAATGTTGTGCTTCTCATGTCAGTGTGTCCCACTTTTTGTGTATTCTTGTGACAGCATATTGCATTGTGTCTCTAATTTCAGTAGTTCTATGTCCGTCGGTGTCTGTATCCCTGTGTCTCTAGGTACTAGTTATCAGTGGCATATGTGCATCCATGTCCAACTGACTGTATGCCCCAGTGTGTGTGTGTGTGTATATATACCCATTTTTTTTTATCCCAGTGTTTGGAGTGTCAGTGTCTGTATACTCAGTGTCTGCTCATGTTCCAGTGTCTGTGCTTCACAGATTCTTCATGTCCCATTTCCTATTTACTCTAGTTTCTGTACACCCTAGCATTTGTGTATTCCAGTGTAAGCATGTTGCAGTGTTTATGTTTCTGTGTTTTTGTGTGCCTTGTCGTCTGTACCCATTTATGTATGTTTGTGACTGCATATTCCAGTGTCTCTATGTCCCAGTGTTTGTGTGCCCCAGCATCTGTGTTTCATTGACTGTATTATGTGACTGTTTACTAGTCTCTGTACATTCTAGTTTAAGAATATCCGGTTTGTGTGTTCCAATATCTGTGTGCCATAACGTCTGTGCATGTTAGCATGTGTCTCAGTGACTGTGTGTCCCTGTCTTTGTCTGTCTCAGTTTTTGTGCACCGTAGTCTTTGTTTCCCAGTGACTCAATGACTATATCCTACAATGTTTCTGTACAACTAAGTGTCTATATGTGTCAGGGCTGAGTCCCAGTGTCTATGTATTTCAGTGTTTCTGTATCCTAGTGTCTGTGTACCCTACTATTCATAAGTTCCAATTTTTATCTTCACCCTTGACTATACATCTATGTCTATGTGTCCCAGTGTCTCTGTCTGCTCTTGGTGTCTCTGTGTCCCAACAACTGTTTGTCACATTTTCCAGTGTCTGTATATTTTTCAGTGTCTAGAGGTCACAGTCTCTGTACTTTGAAGCCTTGACATCTTAGTATCTGCTTATGTTCTAATGACTGTATGTTCCAGTGTCTCTGCATCTTGGAGACTGTGTGTGTCCCAGTATTTGTGTCCCTCAGTTTCTGTATGTGCCAGTGTTTACATATCCTGGTGACCATTTGTATGTTTCATTGTTTCTCTTAGTTTCAACATTTGTTTGTATCTCTGTATCCATGTGTCATAGTGTCTATATGGAGGAGTTGTAGACCCCAGAGAGTAGGTCCCAGTTTTCATGTGTTAGTGACAGTGTACCTCAGTGTTTGTATATCCTAGTGTTTGCTTGTTCCACTGTTTGTTAGTCTCAGCACCTCTCTGTATCTGTGTTATCCTTATGTCTGTGTGCCTCAGTGGCTATTTGTCCTAGTTGCAAAGCACTGCTGTGTGTATGGGATTTAGTTTCTATATTCTTCAGTTTCTATACTACAGTTTCTTTGTGTTCCAGTGGCATATGTGTCCCAGGTAGTATGCGTCCCCCCATATTTGTATCTGAGTGTCTGTGTGTATCTATCAGTGGACGTGTCTGGTCCCATTTTCTCCTAGTGCCAGTTTCCCTGTGTGGCTGACATCTGTTCTGCTGTCTGTGTATGTTAAGGATTTGTTCATGCCAGTTCCCCTATGGGTTTTAGTAATTGCCTATGTTTCCCTTTGGCTTTATGAGTATTAGTATCTGTTTGGTAAGTGGCTGGTTGGGATCTGCTGTCTACATATTTCAGTTTCCCAAGGTTTATGTATCTCATTGTCTCTGTGTTCTGGTGTTTATCTATTGTGGTCCAGTATCTATATGTCTTTGGTTCTCTGTAAGTCTGTGAGTTCCTGTGTCCCATTTGTTTTTAGTGGTACTGGGGATTGAACCCAAGGCCTCATGCATGCTAGGCAGGCACTACTACCACCTGAGCTGTGCCCCCACCCGTGTCCTATTCTTTGTGTTATAAATCCTGTCAGTTTCTGTGTTTCAGTGTCAGTATATCTCCATCTCTGGGTGTCCCTAAGACTCTGGATTCCTTACTTTTGTCTTTGTCTCTGTGTCTCTTTTCTCTGTGTATCTGTCCATCCTTATCCTTGAATGTGCTTCAGTTTTCGCATATCCCAAGCCTCTGTTCTAGTGTCTATGTATCCCTGTCTCTGTGTGCCTGTGGATCTCTGTATCTCAGAGATTTCTGTGTCTCAGTGTCTGGCCATCCAGTGGGCTTCCGTGTTTGAGTGTGTATGTGTCTCTTTGTGTGTGAATCACTATGTTTTTGTGTATACCTGATTCTTTAACTGTCCATGATTCTTAGCATGGTCATCAATTTTGTGTGTCCTTGAATCTTTATGCATCCTTGAATCTGCGTGTCCTTGAATCTTTACATGTCCTTGAGTATTTGCTTGTGACCTAGTGTCTATGCATCTCTGTGTCTGGGTGTCTAGGAGCCTTTGTGTTCCACACTCTATTCGTTCCTGTCTCTGTACATCCCCAAGTCTTTGTGTATCTCTGAAACTCTGTGATCTAGCACATGTGTGTCTCTGAGCCTCTGAATTCCAGTGTCTATGTTCATGGGTCTGCATATGCTTCCTTCCATGTGCCTAGAATTGATGGTCTCTGAGTTTGTGCATTTCCATAACTTCACTCTCCATGTCCATATTGCTATGCTTTGGTATTTATCTCTTCTCCATCTGTCTCTCCCATATTTTGTCAATGTCTATGTATTATTGTTTCTTCATGCTACTATGGATATATCTTAAGCTATTATGCTACTTGATACCTCTTAGTCCCTGGGTCTTTTTCTGTGGATCTCCATGACTGAGTTCCTGTTCCTATGAATTTTTCTTTTTTTGGTCTGGGTGTGTATCTGCATGTATTTCTCTTTGTGTCTCATTTTATCCCTAGTTTTGTTTTGATCTGACTCACCACCTCTGTGTACCTGCCTCTCTGTTTGTGTCTGGTGTCTGGATCCATGCTTTTTTATCTTTGAGCCACTATCTTTATGTCCGTGGGTTAAATTGACTGTCCTCATCCCTTCATTTGTGGCCTTGGTTGCCTGTTTGTATTTCTGGTGTTCCCAGGTGTATCTTGATTCTGTGTCTGTCACTGTGTATATAGCCCATTTGCTATGTTCTGTGTGTCTAGATTTGTTTATTCATATCTCTATTTTTCCAGACAGGTGTCTGTGTTTCTGTCCCAAAGTGTACTCTGTGTCCATGTTAACTTGTTCTGGGGCCCCTGTCTCTAAATTCCTATACCCCTCCCTGTTACTATGTCACAATGTCCCCATTGTACCTGGTTCTGCAACTACGTTTGTGTTATCTGGCCCTATTTCTCTTTTTTGGTGCTTGTCATGGTTTGGGTGTCCAGGTCTCCCTGTCTTTGTTTGGGGATCTCTGAATATATGAAATCTGTGATCCTGTCTTGCTCTAAATGCGCTTCTTATTGAGTGACCTTTTTCTGTGCCTGTGTCTCTGCATTTTTGTCACTAATCTGGGTCTTTGTAATATCTCTGTTTCTACATCTTCATATGCCTTTGGCCTTGTGTCTCTGAGTTCTCTCATCTCCCTCTCCGCCCCCCGCCATGTTTACAAGTCAAAAAGTCAGTGTATTTCTGCATTTCTGCCTTTCTGTCCCTGTTGTTTTAAACTGTGGTCCTGACCAATGTCTCCCTGGTTGCCTTTGTGTCCTTATATCCCTGGGTATCTTAATCTCTGTGCTCCTGTGTGTGGATCTCTGTGTGCATCTATCTCTTACCTCATGTGTTACTATATCTCAGTGTCTTTGCATTACTCATCGAGTAACCTTTTTTAGTCTCCTTACCTTTTTGTGACAGAGACAGTAACTCAAAATCATGGAAGCACAGAAGGCCAGCAAGAGGGCATGCTTTTGTTTCTCTAGGTTTATGCTGTCACTCTGGTACTCTTATCCTCTTCTTTGTTTTGAGTTCTCTGAGCTTTGTGTTTCTGTAAGTCTCTGTCCTTGTCTTTTCATGTCTGTATTTTTGTTGCTGTCTTTCTGTGTGTGATCATATGTCTTTGTTTGTATGTTTATGTGTTCTACTGCTATTTCATGGCTATTTTTGTTCATTCACTCATTCAGCAAATATTTACTAAGCATCTATTCTGTGCCAAGCACTGGTGCTATATAGATGATTCAGAAAAGTTCCTTGCCCTCAAAGACCTTACAGTCTTAGTCAGGGATCCAGGTGTGTAATTAGATGATTATTACATAGTATGATAAGTGCTGTGAGCTTAGAGGGACACAGAGGAAGGGACTAAATTTTATTGAGGTAAGGGTCCAGGGAAGGCCTGCTAGAGGAGGTGACAATTAAGATTTGAACGATGGAAGAGTGTCCCATGCAAAGGGAAAAAAGGACACATGCAAAGGTCCAGCAGTGGGAGAGAAAAACTCTGAGAGTTTTAAACATACCATAAGAACCAGGGAAAGTTGCGAGCTGGCCTAGTGATTCAGTCAGTTTTTTGTTTTAAGAAAGTCACTTCCAGGGCTAGTGTGGATTATGTATTTGGAGAGTGTAGAGGCTGGAGACAGGAAATACTGTGAGGAGACTAGAGTCCCTAAACCTCTAAGTCCACATGTCTGCATGTATGCCTGCTTATGTATTCTGAGGTATGTGTCTTTCAATAGATGTGTGAGCGTGTGTCCCTATGTGTGCCTCCATGTCCCCAGGTTTTTGCCCATAGCTCACTCTATGCCCAAGCCTCTGGAATTCCCAATTTCATGTCTCCTAGCTGTAGAGTTCAGGACATAGGCAGAGTAGGGCTGGCCCAGCAACTGTTCTACATGAGAGCGCTTCACCAGCCAGCAAGAAGTCCAGCGGGGCAGCAACCTTGGTGAGTCCTTCATCAGTCTCTTGCCTAGAATCACAGGCACATCTGGGCTGTGGTGCCTCTGCAGGCAAGGCCCGGAAGGTCCTATCACCAGCCGGATGTCTGTGTGCTGGAATTGCCCTAAAGGAGAGAGATGCAGTGCCAGTCAGGGCAGTGTCCTGAGTCTCTGCTCAGAGCTCTCTGAGCCTAAAGCAGGAAATCCAGAAGGAAAAGTGGGAGTGGGAAGGGGTAGCAAAGGCCTGGAGGAGGGAAGAGGCTGGGCGTTGTCAGAAACGTAGAAGAGGTAGATGTGACAAGAGTATAGGGTGGAAAGAGAGAGCCAAGGCAGATGAAATAGCAGAGGAAGGAAGAAAGCCAAGCTTGGAGGAGAAGACAGGGCAGATTAGAGGGAAGAAGAGATGCAAGAAACCCAGGCATAGTACACCATCACTGCCCAAACTCTTTGGCATGGACCTCTACCTCAGGTTCTACCAGTGTCTCCTGACCTACAATCTGGCTTCTTGCAGCCCCACTCACAGGGAGATAAAGATCCAGAGGGAGGTTTATAATACACAGATCTGACTGTCTTTCCTTTGCTTACTTTCATGGCTCCTTATTACCTTCGGGATAACCCCAAATTCCTCATCCTGACTTTCAGCTCTGATCACTCCAGCTCCAGTTCCTCCATTCCCCATTCCTTTCCCCCACACTCTTGCTCAGCCTTCCAGATGCAATACGGGTTGCCCTCTCTCCTCTAGAAGGTCTTTCTTCAACTCTGAGGCTAGGCAAGATCCTCCACCCTGGGTTCCTCTAGCTCCCTAGACTGCTTTCTGTCCTGCACTGATCTCTCCCTCCGATCACTATCCATGTCTGGCTTCTTCTTTTTTCCAGATCAGGAGTTCCTAAAGGCAGACCCTGACTCTGATTCCTCTTTGTAATTGGGGGTACCAGGTGCTGAGGAACCCACTTGCTTTTCACTCTGGCAAAGGTCTCTGTTGGGACTAGTATTCTCTGGCTCCTCTCAGCCTCAGCAGCACTTACCCATCAGGCCACGGGTCAAGGAGCTGAGGCCTGAGCCATTGACCACATAGAATCCCAGGTGGGGTCGTTGTAGGGTGCTGGGGTTTCTGTAGCGGTGCCGGAGAATGAGGAATTCAAGGAAAGGCCCAAGGCGGAGGGTGAGGCGGGATGCAGAAGCAACATGGAGCTCCAGCTGGGGCTTCTTCACCAGGGCAGGTTGGTCCCAGGATAGGCGCAAGGTACCCTCGCCTCGCACAGATATGGAACTGCGGCTGACGGTGATAGTGTAGTCCCGGGGTTTGTCTGCAGTGACTGTGATGATCTGGAAGTATGTACGGGTCTGGTCCTTGTGGCCTAGTCTTGGTGGTGCCCCAAGTAGCTGCCCACTCACATGCAGCCCTGGAAGAAGGAGTGTGGGCTGGAAGTACAGGCTTTCACCTGGGCATTCACATAGTCACCCACGGCACAGGTAGGGGTGAGGTCTTAGGGCCCAGGGTCAAGATGTAGTAGTGCAGATTTGTGGCTAAAGGGCTAGCTCCTGAGAGAAAATGCTTCCACAATGGTCCTCCCTGAGCAGACTGTAAGGAGGGCACATGCTCACACTAGTGTATTTGTGTGTGTTTTCATGTGTGTTCTTGTGTGTTACTGTATGTTTGTGTGGTGTCAAGTGTCTGTGGTGTTAATATGAATATATCCATCTTTGGTGTTATGTGGGAATGGAGTTCTTGGGGCTCTCACCTGTCTTGTGGTCCTCTATGAGCTGCAGCAGGTCCCCTGGGCGCCCATCCAGTGTGAAGCAGATCTTCTCTTCTGAGTGTGGGAGGTGGATCACAAAGTGGGGGTCCCCATCCACTGCAAGGCAGGAGATGCAATTCTGAATCTATAGTCCTTGAAGGAATGAGAGGAAGAGGGGAAGAGAGAGGAGGGGAGGGGGAAAGGCCATGTCTATTTCTCCCAGAGATAGCCCACCCCCATCCCAGTAAACAGGGGTCCTGTACTCAGGCAGGAGGGACATGGAGGTGGCTGACTTACCAGAGGATGAGAAGGTGAAGATGCTTGGCGATGTGTCTGCAAAGGAGAAAGGGCTCACATTGGTGAGGGACTAACCTATTCACCCTGGCACTCTCTGTCTTCTGAGTCACCTCCTACTAGGTAAGGGTCAAATTCCTGAGCTCTGTATTCAAGGCTTTTCTGGAATTTAGCCCCTGCCCAGCTCTTCAATTCTTTCTTTATGCTTCAGCCCAACTCAACTGACTTTTTGTTGCTGTTGTTGTTTGAGACAGAGTCTTACTAGTAGTCCAGGCTGACCTAACACGCACGATCCTTCTGCAACAGCTTCTAGAATTGTAGGATTACAAGCATGTACCACCACACCAAACTTTTGTGAGTGCTTTGCCTTCTCTTGCTAGTGACCCTTTATTTCTGTTTTGTTTCTGCCACCTGGAATGTTTTCCTTAGTAGATAACTACTAAGAATCAATTTCCAGCTCTCCTTCAAGGCCAGCTCAATTAGTGGATTACTGGGTTATCAAGAGAGTGGCTTTGTTATAAAAGTGAGCTCTTTCTGGACAGTTTGCCCTATCTTGCCATTATCACTGCACCATTTTAGAACTCTGCAGAGCGTTCCTACTACCCTGGAGGCTCTCAGCAGATATAGCCCCTTAACTTTGGACCTTCCAGATTCCAGAACTGTGAGATGAATAAACCTTTATTCTCTAAAAACTATCCACTGTGATATTCAGTTATAGCAAGAGAAAATAGATCAAGACCATGGGACTTGTTTTAAGGTACTAAATTTGTGGTAATTTGTTACATATCAATAGAAAACTAATATATCGAACCTTCTCTGGGCTCCCACAGTGTCAGTGAGAATTCTAATTGAATGGAGATGAAGGGTAAAGAATTTTTGTCAGGGGAGCTCCTTGCTCACCTTTTGCTAGCTCCAGAGAGCTTCCCTGAGATTTCATGCGGCCTCCAGCTCCTCCCAAGTTCTCCTCGGAATCACCATCTCCACGTGGATTTCCTGCCAAACACAAAGAAATAAGAGGAATCCTTCATATTCCCAAGGCAATGATGCCGTGTTCCCACCAAAGGGCCTCTGACTAGGAGAGCCCTCCCTGACTTCCAAACTGACCTGCCCATATCCAAGATTGGGACCTTATGCTCAGCCCAGCCTCTCAATCTCTCAAGCTCAGCTTTGTTCAAAGTTCTTTCTTATGGCATTCATTCTTTCATTCATTCAGGCACTGCTTAGGTACCAAGATATGGTAGTGGAAAAGACAGACATGGTTTCTCACCTGGTGAAGGTCATAGGAGGCAGACATGCATGAAGTCCTAATTACCAGTGATGTAATTGCTATACAAAACATAGTGCACTGACTGAAGTAATATTGGAAGGTGAGTAAGGAGATCTGATCTGAGATCTAAGGCACAGGTTAGAGTTTTAAGGGCAATGGAAGGGATGAAGGTGATAGGAAGGGACAGGGCAAGATAGACTGGGCAACTGATTATGGGGCAGAGGGAGTAGATTGAAAGAAGTCCAGGAGTGAAGGTGGGAGAGGGAGTCCATGGGAAAAGCAGAAAGGAGAGCAGTGGGATTGGAGTTCAGAGAATGAATGGGACAGTGGAAGAAGGTGAGGCCAGAGTGGTATGGGGGTAGGGAGCGCATCATGCAGGGCCTTGAAGACCATGAAGAGAACTTTGGATTTTATTCCAGGTATGATGGGAGGTCTTTGAGGGAGAGTAAGTAGGGAAGGGACATGAAGTGATTTGTGTTTTTAAAAGATCCCTTTGGCTGCAGGGAGAAAATAGCCTGCAGCAGGACAGGAGAGCAAATGAAGAAAACAATGAGAAGGCTGGGACAGTTTTCTGGATGAGATGCAATGGTGGTCTAACAATGGAATTGTGAGAAATGGATGAATTCAGGAAATATATTAAAGATTACATTTCCAAAAATCAGGACTGAATGGAATATTGGAAGGAGGTGAGGGAGAGGGATGTGTCAAGGATTCATTGATGCCCAATTTGCCTCCCTGTGACTTATTGACACCCTTACTCAGTAAATGTCACTCATTTCTTAAGAAGGCAGAATAGTGAAGTAGTAAAGTACATTTATTTTTAGACCAGATTGTATGGATTCAAATCTCTGACTAGCTGTGTGACATTGACCAAATTACTTCATTTCTCTGTGCTTCAGTTTCCCCATGTACAATATTCGATTATCAATAGTTTTTAGTGGGGATTAAATAATAGACTATGAGTGAGTACAATACATAGAGAAGTGCCCACACATAGGAAGAACTCAAAAATGTTATTACTTCATAGTCTTTGGGAAATTTAAAGGTAATTACCTTCATCTTCCAAAATTTTCATACCTCTCTTATTAAGCATGGCTGTTCACAGAGCACAGAAAAACCAATCAAACCTGCCTTGCCCAGTGATGCTTCAATTTATACTCTTGCATCCCTCCCCTGCTTGGGAATCATCAGCCTCTTGTCCAACAAAGCAAATGTCAAAGCTACAACTTCGTCAGTTTGTTTCTGTTCAGCCTTCTCAGTCTTATCTCCCAAGACCTCTAGTTCTGTGCCTATATATAAGGCCCAGAGATGTTAAGTAACTATTCCAAAGTTCCAAAGCAACCAAGCAAGCATCTGAACTCTCATGGTTACATGCTTTTTAGACTCCCAGGGCCTCACACCTCCCTACCATGGTTTGACCTCTTGCCCATTGTACTCACCATCTTTGTTGGGAGTGAAGAAAGTATAGAAAGCTGGTGGGTTCAAGGACTCCATGAACCTGGACTCTACCATTGACTCAGACAGAAGCTCTAGCTCCTCTGGGAGAAGGAGCAGGCTGATGGCCTCGGGGAGGGTGCTGGAAGGTAGCAAGATTGACAGGTTTGGGGAGTTGCCTTCTGGTACAGGGCTGGAGCTGTTGAGTAGGCTTATTGTTGGGACTCCTGACACTGATGGTCCCAGTACTTGCCTGGTGCTCTGGGGTCCTAGCAGCAGGTCTTGATGATGCCAGAGCCTTCCAGTAGGCAGCAGAGATGGCAGAGTGGGAGTAAAGGGAGAGGGGAGGGGTTCTCCAAGGACAGAGGTGGTCACGCTACTGCTGGGAACTGTGGGACTTGAGACTGTGTTTGGGACTGTGCTATGGCTCTGAGGAGGTGGAGGCCTGGGTCTGGCAGGTCTAGGAAGTAGTGGGGTTTGGGGTGTATGGGGGCTTGGGGTTCCAGGCTTGGAAAGCCTGGATAAGCTTGTGGAAATTTGGTGAGGTGGGACACTAGATTTAAGAGGTGGAAGGATTTTAGAGGACTTGGGCAAGAGGATCTTAGGTCTATGCTGTGGTGGATTTTTGGGCATCTTGAGAGAGGGAACCTTAGGTCTGGTGTGTGGTGTGTGTTTGGGGATCTGAAATGTAGAGATGGGCCTGTTCTGTGGCAAGGTGTTAGAGGCTGGTACCCCAGGTTGGGGATGTAATGGGACATCTGGTTCTTGAGATGGAGCACCAGGTTTGGAATTCTGGGGAGCAAAATGTTTCATAGTGCCAGCTTTGGGCTCAGCTAGGATGCCTGGATTCAGATGCAAGACTTGTGTATTAGAATTCATGGGTGATATAATAACAGGATTCTCGTGTGATGGAGAACTGGGTTTCACTGGCAATAGAGCATTAGAATTTGAAGGCACAAGGGCAACAGGTTTCATCTTGAGGGTTGGCTGTGTCAAAGTACCAGAATCTTCTTGTGCTGGACTTTTGGGCTTTGGGGGCGATGAGGTTGATGTGGTACTAAAACTCTGACCCAGTTGTTCCAGCTTCTTGGAACTGAGCATCTTCTTTGCAGAGACAGTAGTAGGTGAGGTTGGTTTCACAGGCCTTGATTTTGGGGAGATATTGGACACCAAAGCTGGCTTAGCTGTGCCTACTCCTAGGCCATGATTGCTGCTGGATGAGGCTGTAAATGTACCTAGCCCATCTGTGATGGATGGCTGTTTCATGGATTCCTCACTGGACTTCTTGAGGTGTACCATGACCAGTGAGGTCAGAGGTGTGACAAAGTTGTATTCAAGGGATAGGTTGAGAACTCTGGCAGCCAGCAGATGGCGAGTGGTGGTGTCACGGGCTTGGAAGCGTTCCTCCAGCAACTGTCCAATGGTAACATAGGCCCAGAGGCGGCGGATGAAGTGGGCCACATTGAGGGCAGGTTCCCCAGGGCAGCCAAAGGCCTTTTGGCTGTTGTTTGTAGCTTCTTCACTGTGGTGAGCCAAGAGAAGCTGACCCTTGGGCCCATCGGCTGCCAGGTGGATGCCCAGCTCCTGTTTACCTGGCTGCACCTGACCAGCCACCACTAGCTCTGAGCCACCAAAGTAGTTGGGGAAAAGTGTCCAAGGGGAGGCTCCCACCAAGCCACCCCGGTAGTCCAGGCGCACATTTGCCAGCAGAGGCATGGAAATCTCCTCATAGAGGCCCTCTAACTGCAGAGCCGAATCAGAGTCTTCGTATATGCGGTGGGCTGCTCCCCGGTTCTCCAGGGACAGGCGACGCAACAGTGGGAAGTCAGCATCATCCCCAAAGGCCAAGCTGAAAAGGGCTACCCTGTAGCCCAGCGCTTGCCGGACATTGGAGAGGATCACACTTGGGGTTGTCACACCAGCTGTGGGTTCCCCATCTGTCAGGAACATGATAAGAGGGATCCGCCCCACACCAGGGCCATTCCCAGTCTCTTGGTGGCTGTGGTTCAGCACTGAAGCAGCTGCCAACAGAGCTGCATTGATGTCGGTCCCTGATTGGGGAGAAGACAGTGAGACCACCTTCTCTGCTCCGTCTCCCAACCCTCCCCACTACCATTTGCACGTACACTGGATATTTCACCAACCTCCCAGGCTCAGTCACATCTCAGACAGTTTCTCAGACAGTTTCTGTTTTTATCCTTCTCAACCCCCCACCCCAGCCTCCCAGAGATTTGACAGTGGAGCCCACATGTCCTTGGCTTTTATCACTCCCTGTCTCAGACTGTCTTTCTTTGCTAGTTTCGTTGGGGGAGCCTCTCATTCCCTAGTCAGATTGACAGCTACCCAAGGATGGCACCACCACCTTCATTCGACAGGGCCGAGGTGATAGGATCTGGTGGGTGGGAGAAACTTCAATAATTGTCCGAGAGAGGAATGATCAAAAGCCAGAATCAGGGCAACAGCTTGCAAAAATGCACGGAAATAAATATCTAGCTTATTGATTTGTAAAGTCTTAGCAAATTCATGCATTGGCATTGAGGAAAAGGAAGGTCAGGCCCAAAGAGAAATCCACCCTAAGATATGTGGAGAATCAGCTGCGCTCTTCCCACCAGCAGCAAGGGTAGATGGGATGGGAAGCCAAGGATGAAGGGACATATTTGTATAAAAGGCAATAGTGACATTTCAGGCACCATGAAAAGTGAGGAGGAAGGGGATCTGAAAAAAAGGTTTGGGGAATTCCCATATCACCACAGCCTGCCCTTCGGGATAAGTAGGTCTAACACTTACAACCATCAGCTTCCAGGCGGTTCAGGTAGTCCTTGGCACTGTGGATGTTCTGGATAGTGGCCTGGACGGAGCCTCCAGCTTTCCAAACACTAACTGTGTCAGAAAAGGAGATGATGTTGAAGGAGTCGTCGGCTCGCAGGTCACCAAGGATCACATTCATGGCGTTCTTAGTCTGTGGGGTACAGATGAAGTGAAGGAGATGGGACAAGACTTGAGAACTGTGAGCTACATAGTGAGACTTTGTCTCAAAAAAAGGAAAGAAGGGAGAGAAAAGGAAAAGGGAAAGGAAAGTTCTTCTGGACAGCAGTGGTCTAAAAGTTTCAAGCTCTGGTTTGCAGAGCTCTGAATCCGTGTGTTCTCTGCTTCCTGACCCTAAGACCGAAGATTCAATGATTTCAGGACCCTGAAGTTTGGGAGCCTTATGATTCCAGATCTTTAGAGCGGCCTTTCAGTGATTTGGCATGCTTCAGTTCCTCGCTACTCTACTTTTTGCCCTCACCTTCTGTCTCTGCCAAGCTAGTCTTTTACCAGCCCGGGATAACCCAGGTGCTATTCCACCTCCATAACTTTGCTCCTGTTGTGCCATTTTGACAGTATGTCCCCCATTTCCCCTTTATTTATTCATATTTCATTGTCCTTAGCTGCTCATTCTCTGGAAAGCTCTCCCTTCAATTCAGTTGCTTACTCTCACCCTTCTCACTCAGATATCCCTGTCCCAGACTATTCACTGACTCTGTTAGGTAGAATATTGTCACTCTCCTAGCCACATGCCAAGCCCTCTGAGAACAGGAGTTAGAATGCTGCTTCTTCCTGTCTCTCTTTTCCATGACAACACTTAGCATAGAAGGACGCACCTAGGAGGTGAAGGGAATAGGATCTGTAGACTCTAGTGTAGGTAGCATCAACAGAACCCTTGCTGTGTTCCAGACACCGTGCTAAATACTTCAGATGTATCAACTCATTTAATCCTTACAAAAACACAACATAGTCACTAATGCTACCCCCACTTAAGAGGCAGTGACACAGAGGCTCACAGAGGGGAAGTCACTTGCTCTGAGTCACACAGCCAGTAGTTGGTGGATCAGAAACTCAAATCCATATTTGAGAGGTGTCAAATCCAGTGATCACAATCACAACATTATACCTTCAACCCTTTAGGCAGGTATGAATTTCAGAGACCGTAGGAAAGGTGTTTGAGAGCCACCTTCCTCTACACCTTCAATTGGGGAGAGACGCCTTGATGCTTCAGAGGGGATCCGTGTCTTTCTTGACATAGAGAGGACTCAGGATGTGCCACACATCCCGGGAAAAGAAGCTGAGCACCATACTCTCATTCCCATTGAGAGGGCTGAGGCTTTAGGGAATGGCCTTTCCTGAGAACAGCACAGAATTCTGCACGAGAGCCCATGAGGACACAGCAGCAAGAACCTCTCGACATCTGAGGACAGGTTATATTATTAGAAGCATCTTGTTTAATCTTTCCTCTCCAATTATTTTGAGATTCCTCACCTAGCTTTCTCTTACTGATTTCTAGTTTATTCCACTTGGTCTGAGAGCATACTTTGTATGATTTATACTGTTTTGAATTTGCTAAGGTGTTGTGATGGTTAATCTTGATTGGCCACTAGATGGGACTGAGAGACTCATAGGAGGTCAGTAAAGTACCCCTCTGGTTGTGTCTGAGAGGACATTTCTCTAGATGATTAGATCATGAAGGCTCTGACTTAAGAATGGCTTAAGCCATTGATGACAGACTCAAAATATGAATAGACTAGTGGAAGGTGGGGCCTGGTTGAAGGCAGTAGGTCACTGGGGGCATTCCTTTGAAGGGCATGTCTTGTCCCCTGCCCTTTCTTTGTCTCCTCCTTTCTTCCTGGCTGCCATGAGGTGAATGGCCTTCCTCTGCCATGCTCTTTCCCCATGATGTTTCTGCCTTGCCACAGGCCTAAACACAGTTGGAGCCAGCAGACAGATCATAACCTCTAAAACTGTAAGCCAGAATAAATCCTTCTTTCCTTAAGTTGTTTCCCTCAGGTATTTGTCGGAATGATGAAAAACTGACTGACCCAGGTATGTTTTATACCCAAAATGCAGTCTGTTGTTAAATGTTCTGTCTGAGCTTGAGAAGAATGTGGATTTTCCTGGTGATAGAGGAAGCATTCTAGAAATGTCATTAGATCCTGTTGCTCTAGCAAATATCTCTTAGTGATTTTCTGCCTGTTGGATCCGTCGATTGCTGATAGAGGAGTCCTGTAGTCTCCAGCTGTAATTGTGGGTTCATCCATTTTCCTTTCAGATCCATCAGTTTTTACCTCATGCATGAAGGACTGCTATGTAGTCTTGGGAAACCGAACCCTCTGTCAAAATAGTATGCACTGCTTCCCTAATAATTTCATTGCTCTGAAGACTATTCTGTCTGAAAGTAAAATAACTACCCAAGGTTTCTTTTGGTTTCTGTTTGCATGGTATCACTTTCTTTACTCCAATAATTTTGTTCTATCTTTGCCCTTATATTTAATGTGGGCTTCTCATGAAAGACAGTCTCTTTTGAATTGGTAGATCCAAACCATTTGTTTAAAGTGAGTATTTGTTATTTGTCATATTTATAACTGGTTTCTACTTGTTGTCCTTGTTTATTTTTATTATTTGCCTTCCACTCACTTTCTGCATCCTCTAGTTTTAATTGAGCATTTTATGATCTCATGTTCTCTCCTCCCTTAGCATGACACTTAGAGAAAAATGCTGGTGGTTAACTTAGAGTTTGCAATGCAAGTTCACAACTACTCCAGGTCCACATTCGAATAACACTACACGGCACCCTTCGTAGTGATAGTATCTTGTGACACAACTCCCAAATTTTCCCTCTCATCCCCGATAACAGTTATCAGGGATAACAGTACTTATCCGCAAGTTACGTTCACTGACTACATCATTGCTGTTATTATTTTGAGCAAATTATTATCTCTTACGTCAGTTAATAAGAAAAATAAAATTTTATTTTACCTCCATTTAGTCCTTCTCTAACACTTCTCCATCGTGTAGGCTCGTATGTGAAATACAACAGTTTTCACCTGCTGAAGAACTTCTTTTAACACTTCTTGCACAAAAGTCTGCTGGTGAAAATTGCCTCAATTTTTATCTTACAGTTCTTTCATCTGTAGCCTCCACATCTGATTCAGGAGCTAAGCTGCTGTGCTATTAATGTCTGGGGTGGCGGGAAGCATTCTACAGTTCTGTAGTGAGGGCTCAGTCCTTCAGTGAGCTAGGGCCCCTGGGATAAGAACTTCACAGGTGCTTCTGACAATAGGAAGACTGGAAAGGGCTTGAACTGGGTGGGTCCCCTTCCCTCACATGGAAGACTAAGGAGCCCCTCTGGGACACTTCCTTCCCACATATGGCTGGCTGGTAACACAGCTCAGTCTCAGGTCTCAAGGCTCTGTTGTAAAAAGCTTTAAAGTTCAAAGGCTCTGGTGTCCCGCCCGGGACACCCGAAATTTGTCACTCTGGAGCCCCAGAGAGTTTTGGTTTGAAATGCAGCTTCCAGAACTTCATGGATTAAGACACTATGGCCAAAGTCATGTCAGAGACATGGCTCCAATATCCTGACTCAAGGGCGGTGGATTGAAGTGCTGAAAGATTAAAATGTGTAGACCCTGAATTCTATGGTTTCTAACGTTATCATGCCAGCATGCTAAAACTCTATGATATACTTCTAGGTCTTTAAGTTTAAGAATTCACAAAACCATGGTCTGAGGAAGAATCACAGTCTTCATGACCTGAGGTTTCATTGGGTCATTGGTCACGGCAGCGTGACCTACTGTGCACAGGAATTTTGTGATTGAGGGTCTGGGCTGTTTCAGACAATGTTTCAATGTTTCTCAGATTCTGTGGCTCCAAGATTACAGGGGTCTGCTCTGTAAGGAACCAGGGCCCTAGGGATGACGGGGGAAAGGATCTCTGGTGTCCAGGCCCCAATGTGCCAGCACTCTCTGTTTCCTGGTCCTTCTGATGCCAGGACTGAGGTAGGTCCCCAGGGCCCTTGTTACCTGCTTCATCTTGGTACCAAACATGGAGCCGCTCACATCAATAACAAACACCACATTCTTCTCCACAGGCTGGAGGCCTCTGGGGGCAAAGTAATGAACAAAATAGCCACCATAAATCTGGACAAAAAAGAAGGGAAACCGTGAAGTGTGAGACCCGCTCTAAACCAGGCCCCTCTGAGTCTCCTGCACAACACCTTCTCTTTCCTTCCAAGGACCTCTGGCTGTTGCTAGTTAAATGGGCCTGTGTGCAGTTGTGTGCTCCATGTCTGCCTCTCCCACCACAACCGTGCCTCGCTGGCTGTTCAGACCTTCATCCCAGGCCTTGCCCAGAGCTGTGGAGTGAAAAGGACTGGCTTGTGGCCCAGGGCGCCAAGGATCAGGATCTCTGTATAATATGTGAGTTCCTGTCCGTGAGAGAGCTAGACTTGCACAGTCTTGAGGGTCCCCAGGGACATTTGCCTGGACTCCAGGAACTGTAAGTATTGTTTTAACCTCCCTCAATAGAGTGAGCCTGGGGCCCAGCTCCTTGCTGCCAAGGGCTGGGAGTTTGCAGGGCCTCCCTCTCCCCCTAAAGCCTCCTTTCTGCTGTTGCTGGGCAGAGCAAGGAGGGGAGGAGGCAGCAGAGGCCAATGGAGCAGTCTGTTCAGAGGGGATTGGTTGCACCAGGTACAGATGCCTGGGGCTGTCCTGGATGTGATTGGCTGCTGGCCCCCTGCCCCCACTCCACCTCTCCCTCTGCAGAGCCTGGGGGCTGGGCCAGCTGAGGGAAGGGGAGGGGGCTGGGAGGCCCCTCAGGACCTGTGTCAGTTCAGCCCAAGAGATGCTAGGCTAGCTGAGGCTCTGGGGTCCTCTGAAGCCTGAAGCCTGAAGCCCGAAGCCTCCAGCAATGGCTCTGTCCTGGAAAACCAGGTCATCTTCTTCTCTGCCCCAAGGCACCCTGTGCCCAGAAGGCTAGACACTGCTTTTTCCTTCCCCAGGGGAAACGGGAGATGGGAGAACATGGTGCTCTCTTGCCCCTACTCCCTGCCTTCAAATTAATTCACATGTGCGTGTGAGGCTTCTGTGTCCACATAATCCTGGCAGTCTGGCACAGTTCCCCAGAGCCCCTACCACCCAGTCTGCCATCGTCCAGTCCATGATCAGAATCCCCTGTGTGCCTGCTAGACCAGGTTAGGTGAACCACTGGGGAAATGCTGCCCACCTACCCTCATCCCTACTGGCAGGTCCCACTTCCTAACCCATACTGCGGGGACAGGTCCCTGCTCAGTTGCTTCGCACAGTCCTCTGTGCCATCACCTCCTCCCACGCTCTCAGCTAGGAAAAATGTGAAGAGCAGTATGCCATGCATGCTGGCGCTATCCACCCCAGCCATGGGCGTTCACCTCCCCATAGCCTCTTCCCTCTGCTGAGGACCACACAGCCCCGCCATGGACAGTGGGTGTCCCCAGCCCTGGGCATTTCTTCCCTCATCTCTCCCAACAGCTGCCAGAGCACGCAGCTGCCACAGCACTGGGTCTTCCTTCTCCACTGGCACAACGCTGTGTTCCCAATCGCCCTGCACTTCCAGTGGGCCACTTTGCGATCCGCAGCATCCCAGGCTAAGGAGATAGTCACCTGCCATGGTGTCCACCTCCAGTTTATACCTGCAGAAGTCTTTCAGTCTCTTTCTCTCTGTCCCCGTTGTGGCCCTGTGCATGTCAGTGCTACTAACATTGTCAGGTCATGGTGTGCCAGGAAGACGACTGTGAATGTGTCACTCAATGGTCTCGCTCCCAGGGATCTGCAGTGCTGAGTGGGTTGCTTGCAGTTGGTGGCACTTGGCACCTTGAGGCCTGAGTCATGGTCTGCTGAATGCTGGACTATCTCTGTGCTGCCAACATCTGGGTCCTTCACTTTGCCTCCTCCACTCTCCCTGCCTGCATGACCTCACGCACTCCCTTGCACTACACCTGACACCACGAGAGACCCCAGCTCTCTCTGCCCCTTCCAGGCTGCCCACTGGTCTTACTCCCCCACAGCAGAGCTATGCACTGTTGACCTGTTCACCTAGAGGGCTGACAAGCCAGCCATGCATCTCACCCAAATGAGACATTGATTGTCTTCCCCCCGCCACACAGCCCTGTATGTTTATCTCTTCTGGGGCACAACAGTCCCCAGATTCAGTCCTCAAGAAGCCTGAGTGTCACCTTAGTCCTCCTGTGCCCATGCTGTCAGTCACTCACTCTGGCTGCTTTATCTCTTGCCTAGCACTTGCTTGCTGTCCACCTCTTCAAGCAAGCAACCCAAGCTCTGACACAGGCTAATGTTTCTCAGCTTCACTGTCTTCTTGCAGGCCTTCCATCCCTGCTGCCCTGCACCAATGCTGAGCCTCCATCTACAGGACCGCAGGGTGTCATTCTGTCTCAGGGTTCCCTAGTCACCCACGGGACAAATCACAGCCACTGCAGGACTCCACAGCCTTCTGTCTCCCCCTTACCATTTTTTTTAAATCTCAGATCTGTGTTCCATGCCTTTAAGGGACTGCTTACTCTCTGCATGGGCCTGGCCAATCCAGGCCTCCTTCCCTCTGATCCTGTAGCTCCCTCCCCACCAACCAGAGTGCCTTTCCCTTCCCTCAGAGCCCCTCACATGGCCCATGTCTTTGCATTCTTTATTCCCAAGTCGGACTTGACCTCCTCTCGGGAGCCTTCCCTGACTACATTTCCCCCTCATTCTAGCTTCCACCACACCTTGTGCTGTCCTCAGAAGCGCACGTCTCACCTTCAGGCAGTATCCTCTCTGTCTGTGCCACCCAGAGACGAGAGGAGGACCTCTGTGTGATATCCTCCAGTGTCCCCAACAACAGCCAGCCCTGCCCTTGACACAGATCTGGGGCCCAATGAGTCCTTACTGAGTGAAGGAACAAATGAAGGTACTGCATTTGACAGCAGGACCTTGGTGTCCCACAGGAAGTGGGACAGGAGTGCAGGTTCCTGGTGGGATGGCAGGAGGAGTCAGAGCTCACCGTGAATGGGACTGTTAGATGTGTTTTTAATACCCAATCCCCTGTATTCTGTCTGTGTTTCTCCTCCAGGCAATTGTGGGAAAGGTAAAGAAGGAAGCCACAGACTATGCATCCCTGACCTGTCCTCCCCTCCCCTCCATGGCAGAGCACCAGGTGATGCCACTTGCTGTCAGAGTACCCTCACCTGCTAGTTGGAGAGAGAGGGTGAAATCCTCTCATCCCACCCACCCCCAATTCAGAGGAAGCACTGTCACACCTCTGTGCCTTAGCAGTGCTGTTCCCTCTCCCTGCGTGCCCTTCCCTTCACCCTATGCACAGACTCAGAGGCATGTCCTACTCCTTTGCCCCTTACTGCATGAAATGCCAACTGCTTTAGGAAGCCCTTCTGCACTACACCCACATACCCTGTCACAGATTCATACATACTGCCTGGGAGTTGTTAAGAACCTGGAGACACCGAGAGGGGATGGAGCGTGGGAACTGAGTCCAATTCCCTCCTGAGTTCCTGGAGTCAAGGAGCACAGGAAGGAGCCAGAGTCTCTCTTCTGGGTGGAGAGGGGTCAGCACATGAGTGACTGAACCGTGCCAGAGGACAGGAGTACCCAGAGAGGTATTTTCAGGCAGGGCAGGGAGAGGAATTGTGGGTGGGGTCTGGCCACGAAAGAGGACATGTTTGAGCAGGGATTAAGGTAGAGACATGCTGACCAGTGCAGAAGGAGGAAGAAGACTTGTGGGAGAAAGCTGCTTGTCTGAGCAAATACCCCCCCTGGGAGAGGGGTGGACTCAGGTGCTTGTGGAGAAAGGTGTGTGGTGTGTGGGAGGCTATGGGGGGTGGCTTGTGTGCTGGGGATAAGGAGAGGGGCAGGAAGACAGGTGGGAGCAGACTTTCCAGGCTGCCACCATCCTCGTCCTCAAGCCAAGGGTTGATCTGGGCTGCACTGCATCTAGGACCATGGAAACTCAGCACTGTCTTCTGAGTGTGCGAGTTCCCTGTCTAGGCAGGGGCTCAGCTGAAACAGAGGGCGATTGGAAAAGGAGACACAGAAAGAAAGCCCAAGGCTACAGGAGAGTATCAGAGCTACAGACAGCATGTGAGGCTGACTGCACACCTGTGCTCCCTTTTGCAAAAGGATGCTTCAGAGTGGGCTGTGACCTAGCACCACTCGCTGGGTTCATTATACCTGGATTCAGTTCCTACATCCCATGTCTCCGAATGTTGGGGATGTACATGTGAGTGTGAAGCCACCTGTCTTTGCGGGGCCATCTGTCCTTGTTCAGTCACTCTCACTAATCACAAGGAAGACTTGATAGACAACTTGTCCAGACCAGAGCCTTGCCCAGGCCTGGGTGACTGTGGAGCCCATGCTCTTTCCACTTCCCTGGGCCCCCACACCTGCACATCTCCGATGATGTCCTCCATGACCACATCGTACTGGACCCTGAAGTCGGCCATGATGCCTGAGCTGGAGGAGGAGGACTGGTCTTGCAGTGTTGGGGAGAAGGTGATTCGGGCACAGGTCTCTCCCCTCTCGATCCTGGTGGATGGGGCGGGTCAGCCTCACCTGTATGGGTGGGGAGGATTGAGGTTGTGTGGCATGGAAGGCTCAGTCAAGGATGGGGACAACCAAAGGGACCATGTCAGGCTCCACTTCAAACCCTGCAGCCAGCACCTGCTCCTCACCCTCTGTCACACCCAGCTTTGCCCTTGGCTCCCAGCCTTGGGAGTCTGTCCCTCACTCACAACCTCATCATGCCCCACGTCCCACCCAACCCTCTCTGGAGGGCTGTCATGTCCTCAGGTCCACCGGGAGCCTTTGTCTCCTCTCACAGAGGCAATGTACTGTGTGTTAGGACAGGGACAGACACACAGATGGGGCTTGGGTCTCTCCCATCTCCCTTGCCACTGTGGGAAGTGGCAGTCCTGCAAGACTCTCCTCTGTGATAGAATTTCATGTCTTTTCTCTCCCCTGCCTCTGACTCCAGCATCACGTGTGTGAATAAGCCTTTTAGCATCTCATGAAATCACTGATGGCTTTCTGGTCCCGGATGTTTGCTGAGCTGGCCACAAGATCAACTCCTCTGGAATTTCAGTCCATGACAAGTGTCCTTTTAGAAATGTCTCTGTGCCTCCTTTTTACCAGAGAATGGGGAATGGGAATTCTGCTCCTCTACCCCTCCTTCCTGCTCCAGCTGTCAGGAAGCTTAGGGGCAAACTGAGCCCCCATACTCTGAGGGGCCTGTTCACATGCATTCCCTGGGCTTCCTTCCTTTCAGAGCTCTTTGTTTTGTTTTATCCCCACAGGATTGCTTCTATCCTCTGTTTTAACCTTTAAGGAGCAGGGGGAGGGAGCTGCCATTTTTAGCTTAGGGCCTAAGAGTGCAGGCTACAAGCCTCAGATGGCCTTTGAGCCCAGGTCCTTGCTGCTGCCCTGTGTCCCTGGAGGAGTTAGTCCCTGTCTCTCTAAGCCTCAGCGTCCTCATCCATAGCACGGTGGTGAGAACAGCTCCTAGCTCACAGGCAGTGTGTGTAGGGATTAAATAAGAGCACATGTGATGCGTTCGGAACCATGCCTGCTTCTTCCTCGCTGCTAAATAGCGCTGACTCTTACAATCATCACGCACTGTTCGCACTCTGCAGCAGTTTGGAGGGAGGTGTGTTATAAAATTCTCACCATGGTGTCGGGCCACAGATGGCCTCTCTTGTGTTTTACAGATGGGAAAAGAGAAGCAGGGTGGGTATACTTTCTCTAATGGTTCCACCCTAGGGAAGCGACAAGCTGGGATGTGAACCAGTCTGTGTGTCTGTCCCTGTACCGCGGGCATCATGCGGCCTCTGTGATCAGCAGGGTCACATCAGCCAGGTCTTCCAATGCCAAGGAGCCCTGTGAGGGTGGCCACGCGAGCTGGACTTTCCCTGTGCCTGTACTTCAACTCTCAGAGGAGGTGTGCAGGGTGGCTCCCTGGGTCTCCTGCCTGGCTGTGAAGCCAGAAGAAGGCCGGGCAGCCTGGATGCTGCTTAGCTCTACAGACAGCCTGCACCTCCTCCTGCCCATCCTCTTCGTATTCTGAGCAGGGAATTAGGATTTGGCTAGCCTGGCCAAATTTGTTAGTACAAGATCTCATGTCCCATCCAACAATCCCTTCCCATACATTGACTCTTTTTTTATGAGGGAAGTCATGATGTTGGTTGGTTTGAATTGTGTCAAGTTCAAGCAGCCTCCAAAGACTGGAAGATGTTGGACCCCAAATGTCTTTAGCTCCAAGCCCTCCTTTCTCTGAATTAGGAGGGAACGTGGCAGAGAGTATGGGGCAGATGTAGTACTAAAGGAATGCCCTGCAGAAATGGCAAAGTTCCCATTCTGGGATGGTCAGTATGGTGGTTGACCCAGTGCTGCCCACATACTTGTGCGGTCGTTAGTGTGCAGGCGGCTGGTCCTCAGTGGCGGTACATGCACATAGGCAATCCCTGTCCTTTCTGACACCGTGACCTCTACACTCAGTCTCCTCACCAATTGACCAGGCCTCAGGCTCACCACCAACTGGTACTGGCCCTGGTGTCGCCGTAGTAGCTCCTCATAGGCAAGGGCAAAAATCACCTCTGTACCAGCTGCCAGGCTGGTAGAAATTCGGAATTTCTCTGATTCTCGATCCCTGAGAAAGAACGAGAGAAGGGTGGGAAAAAGTAGGAGAGCTCTTAGGTGACCTGCTTCTATTCTCCTCATCTTGGTCCCAGGAGACCTGACCAAGCTTGTGGTTCAACCAAGTCCCTGGTTTACAGTCAGTTATTCAGTCATTCAGGCATCTATTCATAACCTATCTTACTGCCTCATTCCCCCTTCTAAATAGTCTTCCTGAGAATTATATTAAAAGTAGCTCACCCTAAAGGAAACTCTGTGAAAATCTGAACTAGAACAGAACAATTAGGGGCTGATGCTTCCATTTACAAAAGGAGTTTTCAATTTTCGCACAATGCCTCTTGCCCTTGAAATAGACCCTCACACCTGCCCCTCCCCCATGCATTAGACCAAGCTTGTTTATGTGGCAGCAACTCAGTTTGCAGTAGCCAAATCTGAAGTTTTCCAGCAGGACAAAAGTCTCTTGGAAGCTGAGAGGAAACATTGAAAGAAAAAACATGAAAGAAGACAATCCACTGCTGAATGGAGCTCAGTTAGGAAACAGAATTCCATTTAGAAAAATTTCACTTGTACATAACCTTCCTGGAAGGCGCCAATTCTTAAACACCTAGCATCCTGCTAGCAGGAGAAACATGGAAATGGGGAAGTAAACCCCCACTTATTGAACACCTACTCTGTTTACAGGCTTTGATATTCACTGACTCATATGGTCTTCACGTCATCTTCTGAAGAACAGATCATTGTCCCCACTTTACAAAAGTACAGGCTAAGGCTGGGAGAGAACTTGTGTCTCCCCTGATCTCACAGATAGGATGTCTTCATTGCATTGCAGACTGATGGAGCCTCACCTGATGCCTACGTGAGCAGCTGTCTCTCCTCGCCCATGAGCTTCCTCATAGATTTTCTTTGCCTGGTGCTTCTCTTTGATTTCTGCAACATAGACTTTATTGTTGATAGTCCTGATGGAGAAGGAAAGAGAAGGGACCGCAAAGACAGAGAAAGAAAAAAAAAGATAGTCAGAGACGTAGAATAAAGAGACATACAAAGAAGCAGGAGTAGAGGGGAGTGGAGAAAGAAAAAGAACAAAATTGTGCCATAAAGCCCAAGTTTGAGCAGGAACAGGATGAACTTGTCATCATGATATCCGTTTGTCAGATGGGGAAATAGAGACCACACAACATATGGTAGATCTGCTGTTAGAGTTTTGTGTTTCTCCAAATGTTGAATAAATTTTGCCATTTGGCACACAAAACCTTTTAAGGTGAGACATTTCTGAATATTTTTATTGTGATTGTTATAGATTTACTATAATATTTATTTAAAAATACAATACATTGATCTGGGCATGGTTGTGTATGACTATAATCCTAGCACTCAGGATCTGAGGCAGGAGGATCATGAGTTCAAGGATAGCCTGTGCTACATAGTGACATCCTGTCTTAAAAAATATGTAGTGTTGCTTAAGATAAGACTAATTTAATATTGTGTAATTTTTTTGTAGGACTGGGGTTTGAACTCAGGGCTTCGGGCTTGCAAAGCAAGAACTCTATTGCTTGAGCCCTACCTCCAGTAAAACAAATTTAATCTTAAAAAGTGTGTCTCTTTGGCCCAGCATTATCACACATGCCTGTAATCCTAGATACTCAGGAACAGGAGATCAGGAAGATCACAGTTCTAGGCCAGCCTTGGCAAAAAGTTAGTGAGAGCTTATCTCAATGAACTAGTTGAACATGGTGGTACATGTCTGTAATTCCAGCTATGTGGGAGGCATAGGTAGGATCACAGTCTGAGGCAGGCCCTGGAAAAAATGCAAGACGCTATATGAAAAATAATCAAGGCAAAAAGTACTGGAGGTATGGCTCAAGTGTTTGAGTGCCTGTCTAGCAAATGCAAGGGCCTGAGCTCAAACCCCAGTGCTGCAAATAAAAAGTGTGCATCTACTCAAAGAAAACATATAAAGCAAATAGTATGGTGAGTGGTATAGGTGGTAAAAGTTGCAAAGGTGCTGTGCAAATTACTGCAAAGGCCGGGCGCCAGTGGTTTACGTCTGTAATCCTAGCTACTCGGGAGGCAGAGATCAGGAGGATTGTGGTTCAAAACCAGCCCAGGCAAATAGTTCTCAAGATCCTATCTCAAAAAACCCTTCACAGAAAAGGGCTGGTGGAGTGGCTCAAGGTGCAGGTCCTGAGTTCAAGCCCCAGGACCACCCACAAAAAGAATTGTTGCAAAAGCTTCTGGGCCTGATTTGGGAGGCAGCCCTTTTCTCAGGGGGTTCAGAGATAGATGAGTTACAAACAGACTGACTTCCATTTTCCCGTTTCTCTAAGAAAGGTAATAAACTATAAGAGTTTACAGAAGGGAGAGAATGCTTTTGCCCAAACCTGTAGGAAAGGGTTATGGAGGAGGTGGCCTTGGAGTTGGGCCTGAGAGACAGGGAGGATGTGGGTAAAATAATCCTCCCAGACCTGCCTTCTCAGGCTCCTTTGTGGGCTCCTTCTCTTCCTGACCTCTAAATGTTTGGAACACTCTGAAGCTCTGTTCTTGACTTTCCTTTCCTTTCTCTCTCTTCCCTTCCCTCCTCTCCCCTTCTCTGTTCTTTCTGCATTCACTCTTTAGGTGATGTCATCAAGTCCTATGGCCCTAAATACTATTTATGTATACAGCTGACTCCCAAATCTGTATCTCCAGGGTAGATCTGTCCCCAGACCTCCAGAGCCATATATCCAATTGCTTCCTTGACAACTCCACTAGAATACGCAACAGGCACTTCAGGCTTAACATATCCAGAACTGAGCTCCTAGCGTCTCCCCCTCCCAAATCTGTTCCTCCCTGCTCTTCCTTATCTCAGGAAATAGTTGCTGGACTAAAATCTTAAAGTCATACTTCACTCCCTTCTTCCTTTCCCACCCTACAGGGATTTTTGGCTCTATCTTTAGAATATATTCATAATCTCACCACTTCTCACCACTCCCCACACAATTGCCCTGGCCCAAACTACCAACATTTCCTTCCTTGGTAAATGCAATAATTTTACTAACGGCCTCCCTCTTTAAACCCTTTCTCCTAATAGTCTGTTCTTCTCGAAGTAGTCAGAGAGATCCTGTTAATCCTAAACCAGGCCACATATTTCCTCTGCTCAAAAGTCTCTGTGGCTTCCATCTCAACTCAGAATAAAAGCCAAATTCCTCACCAGGCTCCTTGTGGTCCTACACAGTTTGGCTTGCCATCACTTCTTTAAATCTGTCTCCTCCTACTCTTCCTGTCACTCTTTCTGCTCCAGCCACACCAACCTCCTGGCTTCCTTCCTTCCTTCCTTCCTTCCTTCCTTCCTTCCTTCCTTCCTTCCTTTCCTTTCCTCTTTTTTTGCGGTTCTAGAGATGGAATCAGGGCCTTGTGCATGCTAGGCAAATGCTGTTCCACTGAGATGCACCCCAGCCCTGGTGTGTACGGACCATATTTTTTTTGTCCATGCATCAGGTAATGGACACTTAGATTGTTTCCAGTTCTTGGCTATTGTGAATAGTGTTCCTTGCTGCTTCTTGAGTTTGTTCAGCACATTTGTCTTGGAACCTTTGCAGTTCATGTTCCCTTTGTCTGAAAATCTCTTCCTCCAGATAGTACAGATATTTGTAAGACTTCATACTTTCCCTTTCTTTGGGTCTTTGTTTAAATTTCATTTCCTCATAGAGACATCTTTGATCACTCTAAAATAGCACCCTCCACTCACTCTCTGTCTCCTTTGCTCTACTTTCCATTTTTTGGTATCACTTCTCATCGACAAACTGACATATATTTGTTTATTTTTCCATGTCTTGTCCTCTCTTGGAGACTGTGAATTCTTCGAGAGCAAACATTTTGTCTGTCTTATTTGCAGCTGTATCTTTGGTGCCTAGAATATAGTCTGGTACACAGTAAGCACTCATTCACTGTTTGCAGAATGGGCATCCCAGACATATAGCAAGAAAATCAGAGTGTGTTTCACAGCACAGCAGTTCAAAGAGACAGGAAAGAGAGGCATTAGAGAGAAGGTTGGAGAATCAAGGGCTTTGAACACAAGACTCAATGAGTTCCTATGGCAGCAAGGACTTTTTGCCATGGTGAGTGGAGACTCAGGGATAAGTCTCAAAATAGGGAAGCGGGTGTCAGAGATGGTCTTTGAGCAGTGAGAGTTTGGTGTCCTAGAAAACGTTAGTATAACTATAGGAGGCAATTACAACAGTTCCCATTTTGCAAATAGAGTAACTGAGGCACAGATAGGCAGCTGCTTCCAGGAACACCAAAGGAGGCTATGCAGCTGGCAGACGAGACCACTCAGGCAAGTTGTGTTTCAAGGCAGCTACAACAGTATTGCTGTAGCTTGGCTAGTGTGGGGGTGGGCCGAGCTGGCAGGGCCCCAAGGTCTCCTGGGGGCTGGGGGGGCTGGGGGGACAGGGTGGAGCTGCTCTGGCAGCAGCACACTGGAGCCTCTGTGTGTGCTGCCTCCAGCCAGCATACTTTCCACAGAGTCTGCCCAAGAACATTTCCTCCAGCTTGCTTTGCTTAATTTAAAAAAAAATTCTTTTGGTGTTTTTTTCTATTGAAGCAAAAATCCAAATTCTGCCTCTGAATGCTTAGCCCTTGTGTCATTTAACTGCCAGCCTCTCAGGTTAGCCCCCAAACTCCATATCCTGCTTGTTTTTAAATTTGGTTGGGGGGCTGTTTTTGTTTTTGTCTTTGGTTCTCTTGGTCCCCATATGCCATGATCTTAGTCTCTTCAAATCTTACCCTTACTTAACTACCTCAGCACCTGTCCCCTATACATCCTGACTTTGACTTCACACCAATCACCTCTTCCAACCTAGCCACTTTCCAGGGCAGGGCCAGGAGATTCCTGATGCTACATATTGGCTCCACAACTGCTGTTTGAGGCTGTAGATTGCTTATGGCACAAGAATCTTCTCCCCACTCACAGAGGTGAGGGTAGGCAAGCAAGGGTGGAAATTCCACCTGTACTGGGATCTGCTAGGTCCAAGAGTGGCTAAACCCAAAGTCAGAGGTGTTACATGCGCTAATGTGACCCCACTAAATTTCCCTTCATCTGTTCCTCTTTTTTTGTTCATCGCCTCAACCAAGACCCTGTCGTTGACAATGTCTGAGAAACCAAGAAAAGGCATGCAAGGCTGGTGGAGTGACTCAAGTGGTAGAGTGTCTGCCTAGCAGATGTGAGGCCCTGAGTTCAAACCCCAGTACCACAAAAATAAATAAATAAATAAATAAATAAATAAAGATATACACCATCTATGTTTATTTACTCTCCATACAATCAGGGTGGCTCTCCCTCCAGTGATCTCTCAAATCCCACCTCCACTGCCATGTTCCAGTCTCTAGCACCCCTCACATGGACTCTGCCCCTTTCTTTACTTGGCCTCCCAAGCTTCCTGCCTGGTCCCTCCAGCCCACTACTTCACTATTGTCACTCATTGTTTTCAACCTTGTCATGTCTCTTCATTATGGGCCACAGTTATTTCCAAAGTGGGGTACACATGCCCCTGGGGGATTGTGGAGACAAATCAAAAAGGAGCAGGAGCCAGTTGTGAGAGGTTCATGCCTGTGATCCTAGCTACTCAGGAGGCAGAGATCAGGAGGATTGCCCGGGCAAATAGTTTGCAAGACCATATCTTGACAAAACTCATCACAAAAAAGGGTTGGTGGAGTGGCTCAAGGTGTAGGCTCTAAGTTCAAACCCCAGTACTGCAACAACAACAAAAAAGGAGCAGGACAAAAATATTAGCACTCTACAAAGTTTTTCCTTGTCCTTTAATGAATTATATTTATTTGTTTCAAAATGTATCTAATATATTTGCTCTGCAGTATATTTAATATAATGTATAAATCAATAAATACACATATTTTGAAAGTAAGACCCAAACTTTGGAAGCCCTTGACAGCCCAGTCATTTCCTACCTTTCAAGATTCATTTCTGGCCACTCTTCTACCCCCTGCCTATCTACACTCCAGGGACACCAAAGTACATGTTCCTCAGGAGGGAACATTGGTGCCTTTATTCCTTTTGCCTTGATTCCCCAGCCCTGTCTTCATGTGCTTAGGTGGTAAGCTTCTCCTATTTCAAGCCTCCGTTTAGGTGTTATCTCTCCAAGGCTTTCTCCAACTGACCACTGTCTCCTGCTTGGCCTCACCATTCCTACTGTTCTGCATTCAGTCTTCTTTTCCTCCTAGCATACTTTATTTAAATCACCTGCTTCCTTTCTCATGTCCCCCGTTAGACTGTGGACTCTGGGAGAAGGGAGTGTGTGCAATTCATCTTCCTCTTTCCGTCATACACAGCACAGTGTAAGTCACACAGTCAGCATCAGGAAATGGTTGTTTAAAAAAAGCTAATATTGTCAAGCACTTATTATGTGCCCAGCACTGATTTTAGCATATATTTCCACATATATTAACTTATTTAACCCTTACAAGTGGGTTCTAATTTATCCCCGTTTTAGAGATGAGTATTCTGAGACTTAGAAGTGAAATCCAGAGTCCTATAATTGGCAGAGCAGGGATTCAAGCTCAAGAAGTCAGACTTCAAACTTCTTGATTACTAATGCTCTCCTGAAAGAACAAAAAGGATCCACAAATTTATGCACAAATGAATGAAGCAGCGAGTTTGGAAGCATACTTACATGGTAAAATTGGAGATAAAGGCGAGGTGAGGCAGATTCAAGTCAAAGATGGCTTCGTGGGCCTCAGCATGTGGATTGAACAGGACAGAGGTGACCAAGGTGTGGGCATAGCGAGACACCACAGTGGAGCGAATAGAATAGCTTGTCATCAACAGCTGAGAGAGAAGAGACAGGAGGTGGGTTAGCTAAACTCTATTCCTCCCTAGTTGGGCTGGTACTTTGCAAACTAAGATTCCTCGTCTGGCCTCAGTGTGGAGGTGAAGACACTGAGACCCAGAGAGGGAAAATGGTATCTGTCATCCATTTGGTGGACCCGCCTTATATTTCAGTAAGTCTCGGAACCAAAGACTTATAGAAGACCATGAATCAAAGGACCTCTGGGCAAGTGGTTCTTTAACTTTAATGTGCACACGAATCTCAGCGATCTTGCTATAATGCAGATTCTGATTCAGCATATCTGGAGAGAGGCCCAAGAGTCTACCTTTCCAACAAGCTCCCAGAAGATACTGATACTGCTGGTCTAAAGATTTAACTTTAGAAGAAATCTAACACGTAATGAAGGCCTTAGAATATAACAGATGCATTCTGTTATAGAATATAGCATATAACTATATAATAGAATATAATAGAGTGGTCGCATTCTTCCGGCCCTACTCTGTGCAAGGCACTGTGACAAATACTGAATTTTTTCCCCTCTTTCTAATCTCAGGTGTAAGGAATTGAACCTAGTAAGTGCAATCATCCACCCCAAGGAAGATAAGCATTTGGCATCCATGATCACATTTAATCCTCACATCAGCCCTATGAGCTAAATACTATTATTATCCACATTTTACAGATATGTTAGCTGAGGCCAGAGTCTGAGGTCAAGCAGGAAGTAAGATATCTATTTTATTCATTTTTCCTGAAATCATGTTCCCTCCATCTACCCACACATTATGCACATCTAGTTTATTCACGGTGTGGGGCAGTAGGAAATGGAGGCAACTTGGGATCAGATGGACTTCGGTTCGAGTTCTGGTTCTTCCACTTCCTGTGTCGTAACCTCTTAGTCTTTGCTTCCTCCTCTCTCTCGTGGGAATAATAATAGAGCTTGGCTCACAGGGGTGCTGTGAGCACTAACTGAAATAATAACTCTAAGACCCCTGACCCAGCACCTGACATGTTCTCAGCAAATAGTAGTTTTTTCCTCTGGCCCTAGCTTCTCAGCTATAGTACTGAAGAAACAGACTGAATAACCTTCCCTATTGTCCCCAAGGAGCTAGTTTTCTCATTTATCCCATAGCTTTGTCCCCCTTATCCCAGAACTGACCTTTGTGCTTGATGAGGAGGGGTCAGGGGGTCCCTGGTATGTCAGTTCAAGGAAAATGGTCAGCAAAAAGCTGACACAGGTGAGGCACTTCCACTCAGACATGATGCCACTTCTGGCCTGGGTCTGCTCTCGTCCAGAAGGTCTGAGCCCAATCTCTAAACCCTGGCTCTTTTAAACCTTCAGGTATCTCTTCTCTTGAGAGGGAGGGACCATCCTGAAGGGTGAGGAAGGCTCTGAATGTGGCATTGAGGACCACACAAGCCAGAATTGTCCAAGAGCTGGGGCTGGCATTTTGCCTGGAGAAGGGCCAGTTCCATGCCTCCCTTTTTCCCCTCATCCAGCTGTAAGATGAATGGAAACTAAACATACCAGAGTGCTGGGTCTGTCTGTTTGCTATGTTGGCTCAGGGTGGGGTTTTTCTTTCCTATAAACATCCACTGGAGCCCAGTAACTGGGGCCAGAAAAAGGTCACTCAGCACTGATCATCTTAAAAACGTAGCTGAGATGAAAGAGGGGTTGAAAAGGCAAGCCCCCAATCCTGGTCCCTTGTGGTACTGACTTTAGTCTTGAGAAGGGAGAGACTCAAGGTCCCATAGCAATTTAGGAGTCCCAGACAGGAGACTTGCAGTCTCCAGAGCAGTCAGAGGCCAAGGCGGACTGAAGCAGAGCTGGAAAAGAATATAATGCAGCTCTCAGTTCTGCCACTTGCTGCCTATTTGACACTCAGCAAGTCAACTAACATTTCTGTAAAATGAGGGTTAGGCACCACCTACTTCGCAAAGTTGAAATGAATTTGTACCTTTGGAATGCTTAGCACATCATACGTATTCAGTAACTATCTGCTAGGATGAGGGCAAGATGAAGCAGGGCAAGACAAAAAGTGTGGTGGCCAGGCATGGTGGTACACACCAATAGTCCCAGCATTCAGGAAGTAGAAGCAGGAGGGTGGAGAGTTTGAGGGCCAGCTTGGGCTACTTGGCCAGCTCTATGCCAGTGTGGGCTACATAGTAAGACTTTGTCTCCTGTCCCTCTGGAGATCTGGGTTGGGAGACCAATAGGAGAAGCTGAGTTGAGGTGTTCTGGGCTCTGTATCCACAGGTCTTGTGGAAGGAGGATGAGAAGTGGGTCTGAGAGAAGGGAGAGTATTTGGAGGTTTCTACACGGCCATTAGCATGATCAGATCCCTTATCTCTCCTTTCTGAGCAAACAGATCACACACAGCTCCAGCATTTACCTTCAGGGGCCAAATCTCTAATGACATCTTACAAACTGTCCCAGGACACTAAGATTTGTCATATGGCATTTAGCATTTGGGAGGTCCTAAAGCCTGTCAGTTCTGCCTTCCCCAATCCCACACAAAGTTTCCTGTTGGAAATTCCTCACCAGAGGAAGGAGGGTCCTAGCAAGAGAACAGCTCTACTAATACAGCCATATAGAAAACTCCATCAGCTACCCAGTCCCTTTCTCTTAAAGATGAATAGATAACCAAGTCTCCTCAGGCCAATTAAGGAAGCCTGCAGCATGAAAGCAAGAAAAGAAAATAAACAAATAGAACAGACTCCGGAGCAATTTGGGAATTTGGGGAACAAGAGAGAACTTCAGGGGGAAAATGGTAACATTTTCCTGAGACTCAAGAAGATATGATGTTCATACAGCAAGAACTAGATGCCACAAAACAGGGACAATCAGAGAAAGGACTCCTCAGAAATTGAAAGTGATTTGCTGAAATTTTAAAAAATCAACAGAGTGACTGGGGAATAACACTGAGGAAATCTCCCAGAATATAAGGCAAAAAAGGAAAAAAACAGAATAGGAGAGAAAATGTATCCATCTAGCAGTTTCTACATTTAAAGAACAGGAGTTCCAGACCAAAAGAACAGAAATAATGAAGACAACTTAAAAAATAGAAGAAAAATCTCTAGAGCTGTGTCCAGAACAGTGAAGGCAAGAAGTAGTGGCTCCAACTCAAGCAATTACTGTAGCAGTCCCACACAGGATGTCTTGCTTCCACCTTTTTCATCCCCCCTTCTGTCTCCCATCAGTATGTTCCCAGATCCTTTTAAAACTCAAGTCAGATCCTCTTTCCCACCTGTCTAAAACCCTCTTGTGGATCCCACCATGGCTTACAGGGCCCTATATGAGAAGGATTGATGAGATAATCTCTCATTACCTTTCTGACCTCATTTCTTATTAGTTCCCTCCTTCCCTTTATCTACTGCTCTAGAAACTTTGGTCTCCATGTTCTTCAAAAATGCCAGGGGCATGAAAAAAATGCCACGCATGGCCCTGCCTCAGGGCCACAGGGCCTTTGCACTGACTGCTCTTTCTGCTTCAACCGTTCTTCCCCATTTAACTAGCTCTCTTACCTCATGCAAGTTTTTGCTCACATACTACCTTGTCACTGAGTCATTGCCTGACTAACCTATTTAAAACTGAAATAGCCTCCCACCTTCACTGGCATTCTTCATCCCTTTTACCCGGCTTTGTTTTTCTCCATAGCACTTTATTACTCACTTTAGCTTGCTATGTATTTTACTTATTTATTTTATTATTTTCTCTCATTTCCTTACTAGAATCAGCTCTATGGGAGGCAAGGATTGCTATTCAGCTTCTTCACTGCTCTATCTTCAGCTCCTGGAATGGTATCTGGCACATAGTGGATATTCAATAAATATTTGTTGAATACGTGAATACAATGAAGGCATCTAACTCAAGGGAAAATAAAAGCTATTAGAAACTCTGAGTGTGTAAATTACACAAGAAAGTTGTGCTTCAAATGTAAAGAAAAAAATATAATATGACTATAAACAGCTGAAGGAGTATAAGAAAGAATCCATTTGACCTCTCTACTGAGAGGCCCAAAGATTGTGACACCTGACTTGTAGAGAAGGAAATATATTCCTGGCTCACTGCATCGGCTGGATTTTAAAAAATAGTTACATAGTTAAAATAATGTTAAATGCTGTTTGTTGGTTTTCAGGTTTTAGAGAGACAAAGCAAGGAAGACCTGGTTGTGGCTGCAGAGCAGAATGTAAATGTTAGTCATCTGGATAATATAAAAGGAGAGATGAAATGGAATACAAGGAAGCGTAGTGGCCCTAATATCTTTGTTTTAAAAAGTGAGCAATCAAAATCATGTGTCAAAAGTGGATAGAATAGAAAGTAGAGGTCTGAGTATTTTTTCAAGTTACAAAATTAACCAGTAACAAAAAATAAATATTGATGCTAACCATTGCGGGGAGCTGAGGGAAAAGTGAGGAGGCAGTGTACATGAACAAAATCCTCAGTGCCATCGTGAAGAATCAATAGAATATTGTCCAAATTTTATAAACCAAGAAACATTATATACATATTTCCTAGAGTTGTGAAGGAAGCCACTGATAGAGTGAATTGAGGCAGAGGACTATTTCAATTATACACTTTTCTGTATTATTTGATTTGTTGCCATGTACACAAATGGGATAATTATATATCCTGTGGCACTTTATGGCAATATCCAAATGGGATATCCAGTTAGACTTGCCCTCATAGATGAAACTTATACTGTAATGTGCCTAATGTGTTTATGAAATGGGTTGGTGTATTAGCTTACTTTGTATTGCCATATCAAAACAATTGAGGCTGGGTACTATGTAAAGGAAAGAGGTTTTATTAGTTCATAATTTTGGAGTTTGAAAGCGCAAGATTAGGTGCCCCATCTGTTCTGCTTCTGGTGAGGGCCTCCTTGCCTGCATCACAATATGGATTAATGGCATAATAGTGGGAGCATGAGCAAGAGAGAGGTTATATGGTGAATCTCATGATATTCAGCCATGGGGATTCAGGAGCCATGTTAACTCTTCTTTATATCAACTTACTCTTGCAGAAACTAAGCAGGGGCCCATGAGAATGACACAAATCCTTGCCAAGGGTGGTACCTCCGATGACCTAATCACCTTCTACTAGGCCCCATCTCTTAAAGGTTCTACCACTTTAATATGGCCACATTGATGCCCAAACTTTCAGCACATGACCCGTTGGAGGGCATACCACATCCAAACCAAACCCTAGAAGTTGTGAAGAATATTCTGGGACTTAGAACCTCAGAGAAAGTATAGTGTAGCAGTTAAGGCTCTAATATTTGGCATCCCACTGACCTCGATTCAAGTTCTTTCTGCCTCTCTGCCACTCATTAGTTGCTTTGCCTTGGGCAAGTAACTTTCTTGCCCCCTCCCCAAGTTGCCCTCTCTAAAATGAGGCTGGTGCTCATGCAGTAGAACTGTAAGTCCCTCATGAGCAAGGGCCACCTCTGTAGAGGTGCTTAGTAAATAGTTGGTCCTCATTTTCTGTTTAATGTCCCATCCTCCCTCACTGGCTTGTTCAGAGGAAAGTCTCCCTGTACAAAGAGCAGGGAAGAAAAGTGGGAATTGGGTTTTCTAATCACTGAGAAATTTTCCTTTTGTTTAACAAAATGTAGTCATTTTGTTGTGGATAAACTCTTGGAACTTAGAGTGATACAAAGTGAGTTGAATTGTCTTACATAAGAAGCGAATGAATGAGATTCCAGCAGCAGCTCAGGAGAGAGGACTTGGGGGCCTGGAAATGGAATGGAGTGGAAATACAGTAAGTATGTTGGGTACACAAAGGGCCTAACGAGGATGGGAGTGGGGCTCAGGAGAAGGGACAATTAATAGGCCTATTTTAGTGGTGGGAAAAGCTGTGGAAATGTAAAGAACAAGAAAGTCTGGTGTCCAATTTAAAACCTGCTGTACTGTACAGCTTAGGTGACTAAAGAAGTGATAGGAAGTCTTGGAGGGAAATCTTTGCTACTCTCTCCAAAATTTGGAGATACTGATTTGGTACAGCTTGGGGAAAGAGAGATATATGTTAGGACAGGATTAGTGGTGAGAATATTCTGGGCTTCCCATTTGAGCTTCGGGGGTCTGGAGTCTTAATGGTCTGGGATCAAGATATTCCCACCATTCTGCACTAAACAATCTTTAGTCTTAACTTTCCTTCCTTGTCTCCTGAAGGTAGCTGGTGGTAACTCAGCTTTTAATCTTTCTCCTTAGTTGGTATGCGGGATCTACATCATCTCAGATATTTTCCTGCTGATCTATGGA